ACAGAAAGGAACAGACAGGAAACAGCCAGAAACGGACAGGAAACAGACAGAAACAGCCAGAAACATCCAGAGACAGAAAGGAAACAGACAGAAAACAGACAGGAACAGCCAGAAACAGTCAGAAACAGCCAGAAACAGTCAGAAACAGCCCGGAGTCTGTCCTAACCGGATGTGTGTGTTTAGACTCCGCTGAGGCCGGTGCCCGGAGACATTCAGAGACCCGACTATGCCGATCATCCAAGAGGTAATCCAGCCCTTTTTCCTTTTGAGTTGTCTTTTTAAACCTTAGAAACAAGGACAATTCCACTCAAGCTCATTGTCTTTTTTTATAAATTTTTCACAATATAAAAAGTATTCATCCCTATTTTATGTTTTTCCCCTTTTGCTGCTTTAAATCAGTCAATATTTTCATTCAACAACTTAAAGTTGTCATAGGTTTATTCCTAAAATAAACTAACTGAATGAAGACGGAGATTTAGAAATGACTCATTGAGTAAAATTGGACATTGATAAACCAATAAGGATTCAGATAGATAATTAATGACTTGTTATGTAGATGAAGTAAGAACGGACAAAAAAGAACATAAAACTGTTTTAATTTACATGCAAATGTATAAACTATTTATCTGTTTTCTTTCCCAATTTTAAACATTTAATGCTGCTTTCAATGCTCAGCATTAAATAATCCTGAAAGGTAAATGATCCCAAGGTATTTATTTATAATGTATTTAGCTGTGACGTCAACCTGAAAATGATTCAAAAAGCCCTCAGCCCCTCCGACTGCTGCTGAAGGTTTAGGGGCAAAGCTTTCGTAGACTGGGTCATAATTGGAGATTTTCCCATCATGCACTTGGTATGGTGATTTAATTAGCTCCTCCCCTTTTCCATCTGGTGAAAAGGTGCTTCCTTTTTTCCTTTTTGCTGCTTCGACTAGTAAACAAACAGTTTCTTGGTGTAGAAACTCGATCATGAATCTGCTGTTTTCTTTAGAGGAAACAAGAGAAACGGATTAAAGATAACCCTGACCTGCACTGCCCCCTAGTGGAACGCTACCATGCTAACGCTAAGCTAGCATGGGTACGTAGTGAGGCGGGAAGCTAGCTAACTCCTGGCGGTCATTCTGGTTTTACCCGGTTTATGCTTTACTCAGAGAAGCTGAATCTGGGCCTGAACAGTCTGGACTGAGTCTTATGAGCCCTTTACCACACCAATCTCCTTAAGATTTTAATTCAGGCTGGAAAAACATGTAACTTGTGGTCAGATTAATTTGAATATCCCCCCTCCGTCCTGTTTGGAACAGAGATGGGGCTCGTTTGGTCAGAAGTTCTGATCAGAACTAGACTCTGTTCTGATGGTTCTGGGTGACACGTTGTGGTGATTCTGAGCTTCTGCTCTTGTTTCTCTGGGCGAGCCGTCCGGTGGCTGCCATGGCAACCGCTGCATCCCTGTCATCGCCGCGCAGATCGATGTTCAGGTCGCCATGGCAACGGCCTCCTCTCACTCCGCCGTGATTCCCGTTCAGGGAGCGAGGCGTCAAACCCAGAACGCGTTTTTTCTCCTTTTTTTTCAGTTTTTCATGCGTTGGTCGTCGGCTGAGGGG